GAAAAGACCACCCCTGCGACTTCCACCGGGGCCACCCAAACACACCTGACGGTGTTAGACCAGTCAGAGTCAGTGAACACATCTCCCAGCGTGCAGCCAAGCTTACAATGGATTTTAGAAGGTTTAAATGTTTTTCTTCCATAATGGCAAAGTAATAGTTTGAGAAAATAATTGATTTGTAATGTTAGTCTTCATCTGTGGATGCTGAAAACTCTTTTCAAATGGATGTTTCCAATAATATAACTTTGATAAAAATGCGGTGTTTTTTTGTTTGTGTGTGTGTGTGTGTGTGTGTACTGTGTTGTGTTAAACCCCATCCAGTGCAGTACAGACCCAGGAAATCCTTGTGGCTGGGGCACAGGACTGAGAATGAGAATTAGAATCTGTTCCCAGCCTGAGCCCTTTGTATCTGTCCTTATTAAACTTCATCCTATTTACCTCAGACCATTACTCCAATTTGCCCCTCTGTCGGCGGGCCTGGCCTCACAGCACCAGGAAGGGATAGGGCTGTCTCATAATCCCCATTTCACAGGGTATGTCTACACTACCCTCCTAGTTCGAACTAGGAGGGTAATGTATGCATACCGCACTTGCTAATGAAGCCCGGGATTTGAATTTCCCGGGCTTCATTAGCATAGGCGGGGAGCCGCCATTTTTAAATCCCCGCTGCTTCGAACCCCGTGGAGTAACGAGGAGTAACGGTAGTTCGGAATAGCACCCTAGTCCGAACTACCTAGTTCGAGCCCCGTGTAGCCGCGCTACACGGGGTTCGAAGCAGCGGGGATTTAAAAATGGCGGCTCTCCGCTTATGCTAATGAAGCCCGGGAAATTCAAATCCCGGGCTTCATTAGCAAGTGCGGTATGCATACATTACCCTCCTAGTTCGAACTAGGAGGGTAGTGTAGACATACCCTGTGAAATGGGGATTATGAGACAGCCCTATCCCTTCCTGGTGCTGTGAGGCCAGGCCCGCCGACAGAGGGGCAAATTGGAGTAATGGTCTGAGGTAAATAGGATGAAGTTTAATAAGGACAGATACAAAGGGCTCCACTTAGGAAGGACCCTATCCGGTGCTGGGGGCCAGTAATTCGAAAAAGCGGGGGAGGAGGGGCTCCTGGCCACTGCTACGGCGTTAGTCACCGGTGATGTGTTCTGGATGGCGCCGAAAGTTGGCCCCACCACTTCTGCCTGAGGCCCCACCCCTTCCTGGAGCACGGAGCTGCCCCCTCCTTGCCCCGGGGCCCGGCGAGTCTGTTGGCTTGCCTGTGGGAGGCTATATTCATTAATGGCTCTGAGACCCCTGAAAGCATTAGAGAATTGCCAGTAGGGATGTTAAAGCTTCACCAGTAAGCTTTGCCTTTAATGGGTGAGGCTTACCAGTTACGGTTAACTGGTTGGGGCTGGAGCTGCCCCCTGCCCACCATGGGCAAGGGGCTGCTTCAGCACGGTGGCACCCACTGCAGGCAGAGGGCACTTTAGCCCCGCTGAAGCAGCCATCCTCTGTGGCGGGCCTGGGATGCACCGTGGACACAGGAGCTCCAGCGTGGCCGAAGCAGCCCCTGTCTGCCGCAACGGGCCTGCTCCAGCCGAGCCGTGGGAGGCAGTGGGGGCTGCACCAGCCTAGCCGGGCTGGAATAACCCCTCTGCCCCCCCGATTTAATCAGTTAACTGGTTAAACTTAATGTTTAACTGGTTAACTGATTAAACAGGATTTTACATCCCTAAAGGGGTTTCTGGCTGGCATTGTCTCTCATGGGACCCCTTGCCAGCGTGCCTGGATACAGCACATCCTCAGAACAAAATACACTACGTGGACTGATGAGCACTTTACAAGGGGGTCAGCAAGGAAGACAGCTGTGTTTCTAGTACCGTGGTCCCCAACGCGGTGCCCATGGGCACCATGGTATCCGCCCAGGGCATTTATATGCACCCGTCTAGTGTACATTAGGCACACCCTAATGCAGGGGCAGACAGGCCCGGCGGGACGGAGCCACTGGGCTCCGCACTCCTGCACTGGAGCCGATAGGGGTGCTGCTGGCACTTATGGCCCTGCCAGAAGACCCCACCTGGCCGAGGGACTCTGACGAGGAGGCCAGCAAACTGACCCCGGCTGGGGAAGGTACTGGGCCGGGGGAAGGGAAAGCGGGTACAGCCGCGAGAGGCACGAGCATACACCGTCAACCCGGGCGGAGCTGGGGCTGTGCCGGGGGTGGGGTCATGCGCAGCACGCCGGAGGGGGTGGTGCCACTTCAGCATGGTGTTGCGGCACCGTTTTTTAAAACGGCCAGCCGCGGATCAGGGAAGGAGGAGGAAGGAGATGCTCTGAGCAGGGCGTGGGCGAGCAAGGCCTGGCTAGAGGTGGGACGGCAGTGAGTGCACCTAGCGGAGCAGTCGTGTTGTGATGGACCGGGGCTGCAAATGCCGAGCAGCCCAGCTCCAGGTACGGCACGTAGTCTGGAGCCTGGACTGCGGGGACTTCTGGGGCCCAATCACAGCAGACTCCAGCCCTACAAACTGCAAGGCAGAAGGTAGGGAGGGGAGGGGAAGGGGCTTGTGCTGATGGGAGGAGGGCAGGTCAGGAGAAGAAAGGGGAAGGCACCAAGGAACAGGGTGGAGGAGAGACAAATGCTGGGTGGCGGGGCAAGTGGAGATAATGAGAAAAAGGGCAGGAGGGGGAGGTGTCAGTGGGAGGGAGGACAGGGTGATGCTGGGAGAGAAGAGGGTAAGGGCGTAGGGGGGAGGTGCTAGGAGAAGACTTGAAAGAAGGGGTGGTCATGAAGAAGGCAGGGATGGAGCAAGTCGTGTGAGGGCACAGGGGCATGAGGGGAACGAGGGCAGAGGGTGGTGAGGGGGTGGGCTTCAGGGAAAAAGAGGGCAAAGGGGGCAGGGGCAGTGAGGGAAGGGGGAGGCACCAGGAGGGTGCAGGACTAAGGGAAGGTTCAGGTGCCAGGAGATTCTGGGGGTGAAGCAGACAGGCAGACACCTGCAGGGGAGGGACCAGCACCAGAGGAGAGAGGCAGGGCAGGTGTGTAGAGGGAGGTGTTAGGAGAGGGGATGAGGAGGGGTAGCTCACATGATCAGAGTGGGGCTACTGGAGGAGTGGGCACAGCGGGGAGAGAAAGGCTGGTGGAGGGGGGCATGGGACGGGAATATCCTCCTTCTCTCCCAACTACGAAAAATTGGCTGAAGAAATGCGGTGCCAAAAATCCCACTGACTATTAGAAAAACTATATGAATTAATGATACCTATTTTCCATTAAGTGCTGATGAGCGCGTATGATTAACTTGTGTTTAACTTTTTTTCATATTTGTTTGTTTATTGAAATCCTGATACAAATAATAATACAAAGAATATCTTCAATTAACCATAACTAGCTATCTATGCTAAAGTAAGAATAAAAAATATATTTGAACTAGCAGTTCAACAATGTTTTACTTTTTTAAAATAAATAAGATGAAAACTCTTTATGATATTTATTTTGTAAAAAAACTCCTTAATTTTTCTTACAATTAGATAAAAAAGAGCAAATTCACATAGTAAGGTGAAAGAGTAATTGCCGAATAATTTAATTAATACCTTTTACATGTAAAATTAATATTGAATATGATGTTTTTCATATTATGTAATGTACAAATACAAAATAAGTCTTGAAAAATTGTTGGTGCCCGCCACCCTCTTCTGAAAACATGAATGTGCTATTGGTCACAAAAAGGTTGGGGACCACTGTTCTAGTAGAAAGGCTTCTAGGGCATTGCGCATCCTAGATTGCTTTGGGCTGCCAGGGGCCTCTAGTGGGCTGCCTTTGCCATTGCTGCAGAGTTGTTCTCACTTTCCTCCAACCATCCCCGATAGATGGATTTCTAGCTTAGTCTGAAGCATTTCCAGCCATGGTGATCTCATGTCCTTTGGCTACATCTTCCCTGCTGCAGTTCAGCCTGTTCCCGCTTGCTCTGCCTTGCCTTCTTGATACAGTGAGGTTTGCCATGAAAACAGCTTTTCACGGGGCATGTCTAGTACCACGATGGACGGTTTTCAACCTGAGACAAGTAGGCTCCAGGGGATGGTTCAATAGGCTATTTTGGCAATAGATGTTCTATTGCTAGAAGTGCCAGAGGGGTGGGGTTGGAACCTTTCTCTGCAGAGTTTTAAAGAAAGAACTGCCAGCTGGGGAGCAGAGCAAGCAACTTTTCCGGAAAGACAGGGATGCTAATAGGCTAAGTTCACGTGAAGGCCACAGAGAGTGAAGCTAATGCTGCTATGCTGCACCTAGGGGCCAAGATGCAGGACACACGAATACATGAAGGTCATATAGAGCACAGCTCTGGAGAGACTTCCCACTCCCTCTTCAGCAGTCTGATTAGAACAGTTGGCTTGAAAAACTCTTCTTCAAAATAGAGCGAGGGGGACAGTGGAGCTTGAGGGTCATAATCCCAACTATTCTGAATACAGAAGTAGAAAGACTCTTATCTAGTGGCTTCAATGACTTGCCTAGGGGATGCAGCCATGTGTCCTGACCCGTCTCTGCATACTTGTGTGATTTACAAATGTAGCAGTACAGGTTGCACCTCCTTAATCCAGGACTCTCTGGTCTGGCAATGTTTGTTATCTGGGACCATGGATGTTCCTGGGCCAGTGGACCCTGGTGGCCAGGAGTCAGACAGCAGATGGGCTGGCAACTGAGAGCCCTGCCCAGCAAGGCTGGCAGCTGCCTAGTAGGGGAGCCAGGGTCGGGGCTGCATCAGCCGGGGGAAGCTGGGGCCAGAGAAGCCAGGTGCGGAGGGTTGCACGGCAGCTCAGCAGAGAAAGTGTGACAGTCTGGCAGGCACCAGAGCTCAGGCCAGTGGCTTGCAGCCTACCTGGGGCTGGCACTAGGATAATCAGCCGGGGCTGGAAGCGTAACCAGTCGCGGGCTAGGGGGACAGTGGCAGGGGGCTTCCCTTAGTCTAGCAAATCCCCTCATTCAAGACCAGTCGAGTGCCAGACCAGGGAGGTCCAACTTGTATTTTGTTTTGCATTCTAGTCCGAAGACTTAATTACTTGCCAGGATATTAAACACGTGATGAAGCCCAACGGGATCTGCTTATTTCTCAATGTGTCCGAATCATGTGTAAGTAGCAACTTTGCAAATGGCCTAAAGGGCCACTTGTTTTAAAGCAGCGTGGGAACAGACAGGGTGGGGATGTGCAGGCTTGGGTTCTTACCATCTTTTCAAACTTACAGGCACAGGGTGACTGTAAACACAGGTGACATCTAGTGGGCAGTAATCAAACAGCATTGTCAGATGTGAAGCTTTATTTATTTCTATATTCTGGTTAAGATTCACTGTCCAAGAAATTTGGCATATTTTGTTATAGGGAAGTTAGTGAATGAGCCCTGTTCTTTGTGCTCACCCTTGTGAATAAATGAAATGCTGGCATTATAAAAAAAAGGGGGAAAATAATAAAAATAAATCTTAAAGCAAGGTAGTGAAGTTAAGGTCTCAGGGTTCAATTCCTGTGTTTGCTACAGGCTTCCTATGTGACCTTGGGTAAATCACTTCATATCTTGGACATGTGTCCTGTGCCCTTTGATTCTAGCAAGTCACATCTCACTGCTCATACACTTGGAATCACCAAATATGAAGTGCTTTGAACCACATGAGTTTTCAATGGCTTCGGAGGGAGGGTGGTCCCTCCACCTTAACTAACCATTGCATGGAAAAAACTACTTGGCCTCCAAGCAGGGTTAGCTGCTGCACCTGGGAACCAGATAA